GGTCACGAGCACGATCCCTGTGACTCTGGTTGTTAGTACAGAATCTTAAGTAGCCGTGCATTAAAACATAAAAACTGTCTCATCCCTAGTGGTTTTGATTGGTACCCTAATTGAGACCAGTCTGCAACAAATACTACCAAGAGATAACTAGATAACTACAAAATCAAGTTTCTTACAACAATATAATCAATGAAATGAAAACAATAAAATTAATAACTAAGTGTATTTTGAACAAGAACAGTGTATATACAAGATTTATTATTGCAAGAAATAAATAAATTAAACTGACAAAAACCCTTCTAAATGAGAGAGAAAACTGGTTTGTTTTAATCTTTCCTTTCCAGCATATACGCAACCACCCTTTTACTTCACGACTACTATACTGTTGAAAATTACTGTCTCTAAACTAACAAACAGTAATTACATGTAAATTATTATTATTTTTGCTATACAAATTTTAAAGAAAAAAAAAACATTGGGAATGTGAGAGAAAGACTGATAAACTGAAGTTGTTGAGGAATAAAACAGAGTGGAAAACATGAGTATTGAAGTAGGACATTGATGTACGTACACACAAGGAATAAGAGATGATTCGTTACTAAGTGAATTTGTTTGAATTTTTTTAATTTTATTCTTTTAATAAGATGAAAAACAATTGTGTTTCTTTTCAAAACAAAAAAATATGGCGAATTTTATTGTTTGTTATTTTGTTATGAAGGAAAAATGTTTCTTGAAAGATAAGTTGAAAGAGATTGTAAGTTGTATCGTTATGTTTCCTATTATGCTTTTATCCCGCAATACTTTTTGTTCTCTTTTTCTTCATTGTACATTGGAAAACGTTTGAAGGAACAGAAGAATGAATGAATAAACATGAATATTTTGAAATGTTATTAAAAAGACATTGATTCAAATAGAAATTACAGTACGGTACATTATTCAATTTTTTCTGAATTCAAGTTGATGGAATGAGTAAAACAGGTGAAAATAATTGGTCGAAATCTGTACGCTCCACAACCCTATACTGATAATTACCATGTTCTCACAAGTGACTAGCTTCGTGAAGTAATTCTCGGAGTTCTATTGAGAAGCTGTAACCAGTGGAGCTAATCCGTGTCGGGTAGAGATAGGTATCTACCTCGTTACAATGGAAGATGGTCGCACACTTTTGTGGATTGGTTGAGGTCAGACATTAACACTATTTCAAATTGATTGAGATCATGAACCGATTGATGTTAGACCACCATGAAAAACTTAGAAGCACTGGACGGTCGTTTCGCCCTATTGTGGGACTCCTCAACAGTGCTCATCCACGATCCTGCTAGAGGGACTCCAACCCAGGATCTGCGGTCTCGTGCGCGAACGCTTAACCTCCAAACCAATGAACCAGTCGGTATCCAAAGATGTTAATGTCTAGCCTCAACCAATCCACAAATTGCGCGACTATCTTCCATCGGACCGAGGTAGACACCTGTCTCCACCCGACATGGATTAGCTCCACTGGTCACCGCTTCTCACTAGAACTCTGAGAATTCCCTCACGATGCTAGTCACTAGTGAGCACATGGTAATGGTAATCATCAGTATGGGGGTTGTGGAGATTGTTAGGATTTTGATTGAGATCATGAACAGATTAATGTGAGACCACCAGTGTAAACCTGGAAGCACTGGACGGCTGTTCGTCCTATTGTGTGGATCGATTGAGGCTAGACATTATCACCGTTGGATGCCAGCTGGGTCAGTGGTTTAGAGGTTAAGCGTTCGCGTGCGAGACTGAAGGCCCTGTGTTGAATCCTGCGAGTGGCATCGTGAATGCGCACTGCTGAGGCGTCCACAGTAGGACAAAACGACCGTCCAGTGCTTCTAGGTTTTCCATGATGGTTTAACATCAATCGGTTTACGGTCTCAATCAAAAACTTAATAATCTCCACAACCCTGGGCTGATGATTAGCTATCACCTAATACTTGCCAGTGAAAGAATATCATCATTTTTGATAAAAACAACACTCTTTATAATATATGAATTAGAGTCAACCAGTATCCACAGTTAGAAATGTAACCACTAAAGTATTCAATGTATAACTGACTTCTTGTCAAGATTAAGTTATTTAAATTGACTAATGAATACCATGTTATTAATTACTATACAGTTAATAATTAGTAGACTACTTGCGAAGCAAGTTAAAATTTTCAATCATCGATGACATTGCTGTTCGGATAAGATGATCTGAAACATTTTCATTGTTCACTAAATGGTCATTTCTCTGTTTATTTACTGAGTCCTGTATATTAAACTGGAATGTTTATTTAAAGTTTCATCTCAAGTCCTAACCTATAATATATCGTTGTTATTCATCCTGAATATTGGCCTACGTTGCACTGAATATGTGCATAACAATGGCGAACAACTCCGATCCCCTTTAAAATTAAATTGCACATCAAAATTACACTCAAATATTCAATACTCATTCCTTAAATGGGAATATATTTAGAGAACATTATTAATATAACATAAAAAAAATCATGTCTGATTTATACACCTTGTCATATCTAAACCCATGGATTCGTACCCACATACACGTTTACAAATACATACACGAATTAATTAAACTAGTAAATGTATCATAAGCAAAGGTAGATAGTGGCTAGCAGTGGAATCCAGGACGTGAGTTTCATCCTCTATGGAACTCGTATTCCTTTATAAGTGCTGTTTTTATCATTAAAATTCAATTCGAGTACAATTAATTAACGGAACTTCCAGATTTTCCATGGTGATCTAGCTTAAATTGACTCATGATTTCAACTATTGAAATTACTAAAATCTCCACAAAACCACTTCTAATAAAAATGACAAAGCAACTAATGATCACAATTTGAAACAGTTTATAAATTGCCATATACTAATAATAATAGGCGGCCTGCTTGAGTATCTGGGCTACCCGTTCCTTCTATCTAGATATTTCAACAAGTTATCTATTTTTGTTTTTGATATATCATTATGTCTATTATTCGCATAACATATCCTGGTGCATTTCTGAAAAGTGTACAACTTTTCATTGTCAAAGTTACAAAAAGCCCAATAAGAGATAATGTGGTCGCTAGCAATATGCAGCAAAAACAATATGCATTATTCAGATGTTCATTTACTGGACTGCTAACACATAACTGGCGATCACTCAATATTTATCGTCAGGATCAACCAAGAAGTATGAAACGGAAACTTGTTGAAATACTTTGTGCTGAGAATTCTATATTGTACCAAAAATATAATATTGAATAAAGTTGATAATAATAATTTTTAAAAAATCGTAAGTTTGTTCTATCGTGTTAATTTTGTTTCGACAACAAACTTCTTTATTCCATTGTAATTTGTTATTAATCCGTTACATAACCAAGTGGTAATTTACAAAATAAATAAAAATGAAAATCAGATGTACAACAATACACGTTTTTGTTCTAATTTTTTTTTTGTGAATGGAGTAAATATGGTAATCTTATTCTCTGATTAATTAAAATAATAATAATAACATAAAATACAATGACTGGCCTCTCTGTTTTTTTCGTCAGGTGAAATTCACCTCTCTCCCATTTTGTCAACACACAACTGTGAGGATAAGAAAGAAGTAAGTGTACGGTGGCGCAACTTCGTGGATTGGTTGAAGTTAGACATTAACACCGTTGGATGCCGGCTCAGTGGTCTAGTGGTTAAGTGCTCGCGCGCGAAGCCAGTAGGTCCTGGGTTCGAGCCCCGCGTGGTGCGGGATCGTGGATGCGCACTGCTGAGGAGTCCCATACCAGTACGAAACGGCCGTCCAGTGCTTCCAGGTTTTCAATGGTGGTCTAGCTTCAACTGACTCATGATTTCAAAAAACTGTGAAGATTCTAAAATTCTCCACAAAACCCATTCTGATAATAATAATCAACTGCTCACTAGTGACTGACTTCAGGAAAAACTCCTGAAGTTCTAGTGAGAAGCCGTTACCAGTGGAGTTCAACCGGTCTGTTGTGAGATAACAACTCACTGAAGACAATGGTGTACGGTGGCGCAACTTCGTGGATTGGTTGAAGTTAGACATTAACACCGTTGGATGCCGGCTCAGTGGTCTAGTGGTTAAGTGCTCGCGCGCGAAGCCAGTAGGTCCTGGGTTCGAGCCCCGCGTGGTGCGGGATCGTGGATGCGCACTGCTGAGGAGTCCCATACCAGTACGAAACGGCCGTCCAGTGCTTCCAGGTTTTCAATGGTGGTCTAGCTTCAACTGACTCATGATTTCAAAAAACTGTGAAAGAAGTAAGTATAAATTTGAAGGTGAAGACAACATTGGTAACAATGGTAGATGTTACAGTAGAGTAGTAGCAGTAGTGATAGTGGTATGTAGGCCCCATTTCACAGAATTTAATTACTAATATTCACTATTATTATTATTATCTCACTAGAGCTGAATAAATATGTATATATGTTTACCTACATATGTGGGTATATGTATGTATGTGTGTGTATGTACACACGTACCTATGTGTGTATATTTTTGCATACATATTTAATCCTAACTGGCTTATCCATTTTGTATTAGACTACTACAATACTTAGTTCAAACCATCCTTGATACATGAATTCATCTGTGTTCATCTATAGAAATATTTCTCATATGGTGTGGATGTGTGTAAATCCATGTTCTAGTTAAGAATTTTTTGTTATGAAAATGTTGATGATAATAATATTAACAAACTGGACACTGTCCATTTGGTATACAGACAGAATATATATATACATCACAGTAATGTATTATCGTAAAATATATATATATATATATATATATATATATATATCATATTATATACTCACATGAGCAAACATGAAGTGGGAGAGAGAGAGAGAGAGAGGAGAGGTATATGAATTAGTACCTTACCTAAACGTAATTTCACATCATTACATGTATTCGTGTGTTTGTCTATTCAATAATAACAATAATAATAATAATATATTGACTTACATGAGTGTGTGTCCTCCACTATCTCTCCGTGTGTTTGTTAATCATCTATGAGGGTATTCGACAGATGAGTAAATTAATTAGAAGTGAGTTAGCGGAGTGAGGAAATAACAGTGAACATTTCATTTGCTTTACCTATAAACTCTAAGGTGTATAATATTTTTATGTAAAGAAAATCGTTATCATGACCATTATTAGTATCATATTTTTGTGAATAAAACGAACATAAAATAGTCTGATTTTTTTTTAATGTTGACAATCATCTTCGAAATCTAAAAAGAAACGACGACTACCTCAAAAACACTAATACTGTGATAAATTTTGTTCACTTATCACTAATTGAATCATTATAAGTATTGTTTCCATTGTTTCTCAAAAAAAAACACTGATGTAATAATGAACCGATTTCTTTGAACCGCTTCACTGATCATTATGATGACGACACTGTTAAATAATATTAAAGAACCGTTACATCATATACCAAATCAACCAGTTATGACGGTTACATCGAATTATACCGATTTAACTATGCTAAGTACGAAAATAACTACTAGTAACAACAATAATAATAACAATGGGAGTGATATTACTACTCATAATGGTATAACAAGTAGTAGCAGCAGTGGTCATTGCAGTGATAATAACGATCTAAATGTTGTTGAATCACATTTATTACTAGACAACTGTGATGATGCGATGTTATCATCATGTAACAGTTCACTTATAATGGATGAACATGAAACTAACTCAGGCAGTAATTCACCAATGACCAATGCAAGTGCTACCATGGCAACTAATGAGAATATTATGACTAATAAAAATAATAGCAACAACAACAACGCTAACACCAACAATAACAATAACAGTACACATTCTATAATGCATATATCGCCATCGTCGTCTTCGTCTCCATCATCATCGTCATCATCATCAATATTGGAGCATCATCAAATATCTACCTCCAAGAATAGAGAGTCGAATGATTTTCGTTGGAATACGAAAAATACAAAATTATTTGTTGGACAGATACCAAGAAGTATGCAAGAAAATGATTTACGGGTAATATTTGAAGAATTTGGACCAATTTATGATCTGTTAATCTTAAGAGATAAAATTACTGGGATGCATAAAGGTGAGTTATAACTTTAGAATTAATGAATTTTTAACTTATTGATTGTTTAAATGATAAAAGTTGAAACTTCAATAATGTAACCTTATAACATTCAGTTTATTTGATTAGTACGAATCAGTAGTTTAATTTTTTCTTTGTTCGAGTCACAGTTTTTAATGGTCTATAATCTTTGTTAGCTAATTGCAATAACTTAATATTCTTCTGTGCTAACTTGACTCACTCTATAAATCAATACAGACTTGTTGTTGTTGGATCTCTGTTGGATAACGTTAAGCATTTTCAGTATGTAATCAATTTCTAGCATGGTTCGATGATAAAATTTGATTCTGGAATAGTTTTAAATATAAATGAGCTAAATGACGTCAATTTTTAAAAAAGAATCAACTTCATAATCTGCTCTAAATATATACGGTAGTTGTTCACGTAACATTTTAGATGGTATCCGTTTGACTCACCTACACAAACACAAGTATCTGTTTGAGTAGTTATCTTTTATTGTGATCGTTTCTCGAAATTTTTTTACTATCACTTTTCATTCATAATCATTGGTGTTCAACAGACAAGAGTTGGTTACATAGGGCAAATACACTTGATTGTAATTAATGATAAAATGGTTCAGTGGGCATTTATTCGGTTTGCAGGTTGTATTCATTATTGATTAATGTCAGTTGTGGTAGCATAGGGAAAAAAGGACCACTCCATATGTAGATATTGAGCGAAGATCCTTTAATAACACTGAGAATAACTGTCTCACCATCAACAAACTTGAATTCAACAAGTCGGGATGTTCACTAAAGCTTGGGGAAATCATTCTATCCCAACTGACATCAATAACTCATTCATATATATCAGAGGAGGGCGACTCAGTTGATTTATCCTTTCTTGTATGCATTACAAACAGTAAGAATTGTTTAACTCCTCAGAACAAAAAACATAATTTGATTGATTAAAACAGAAATATTTTCTGTAAGTATGAATTTAGACGTTGTTTTATGGAACTGCCAATGAAATGTTATCAACATATTATTGAGACTAGAAGTCTTCTATCTGAAGTTTGTACTGATGATGTCGTTCAGAAGAACGATGAAAGCTCCACGACCAAATAATCCACCTGAGCTCCAAATCTTGTCCACCATCTCAAAACTAATGAATTTCACATGATAAATCAAATTTATTTATTTCATTGGATTTTTTCTACACTTTAGAATCCAAAATATTTGATAGAGATAGGGAGAGAAAAATATGTTGATGGTGGTTTTTCATTTCATTACCTTTTCTTTTGCATTTAATCAATGTTGAAAGTAAATGACGTTTATCACTGAATGTTTCTGTATATAAACTGGTTATATGACTGATGAGTGGATATACTAATGAATTTCATTAAGACTTCCATTGAATTTTCTACAAATTACAATTAACTGATTAATTTACACAATGATTATCTTCTGACTGTATGATGATAAACCCCACTCATGATCACTAACAATAAAATACTGACAGTTATAACCCTATTTAATAAGCATCAAGATAATGTTAATAATTTGTCTGTTTATTCATCACTCTATATATTTGATTACAGTAATGAATTCATAGCACAAACTCTCAATATTATAGAGGAAGAATGTATATTTCCTTGAAAAAGCTTCGACCAGATTGCCGGGTGAAATGTTGCACTAACTTCAAATTCATTCGCTAAGATTTTACAATTACATTCTTCCTCTTTAAAGTCTCACATTAACTCGGTGCCCAAATACTGTGAAACTATTCGATCAAATTGAGATGAAAGTTCTTATTGTAAGAAAAATTTTGTTGAATATCGGCTTAACTTGTGAATTATTTGTACAATGCTCTTGAACAATCGGCTGACTGTCGTTTATATGTACTCTTAAGTGTTATTGATTTTACTTCATCCTACGATACATATCATTGTATAATATTAATTTGATACATGAATTCCATTGTACTAACCGCCTGCTCTTCCAGTGTTCAGATGAATTAGAAAATAAACACCAACCTACATGGTAATGGCTGTGTGGATAGACGTGATGATGATAATTCCACCTGAATTTTGTGATGAATAATTGTAATTAAAAAATTTTTGTTAATCTTTTTTATAAAATCGCTCGAGTATATTCGATGGTTAAAATTGTGGATTGGTTGAATTTAGACTTTAACACTGTTGGATACTGGTCGGCTCAGCGGTCTAGAGGTGAAGCGTTCGCGCGCGAGACTAATAGGTCCTAGGTTCGAATCTCGCGGGGCGAGATCGTGGATATACACTGCTGAGGAGTCTCATACTAGGACGAAATGGCCGTCCAATCCTTCCAGGTTTTCCATGGTGGTCTAGTTTCAATTAACTCATGAATTCAACTATAAAATCTACAAATATTTTCTGTAATACTTGCATATTTTAAGTAAATGATTAATCAATAAGTTTGAATAGGTTATCTATACCAATGAAGTAATCTATTAAAACAAATCTATTTTCGATCTGTAAAAAAACGGTTTGTGTAAACTTGTGATAAATTATATCTCTAGAAGGAAATTATATATTTGTCGGGATTAGATGATTTTTTATCTGATATGCAATTAACAAAGTCTTCAATCTGATGAAAGTTATCTATGAAATATAAGGAATACATTTATTATCATCATAATAAGTAAAATAAATGTCGATCCCATGGTTTATGACCATGTTTAACATGAGATAAATATTACCAATGATATTGGTGATAAATGTTAAGTCAGTGGTTTGAAGATTAAACACACTCACTTAGAAGCTTGAACGTCCCAAGTTAGATTTTAAATGGAATAGAGAATGTGCTCTGAAACTATGAAATTCAATCTTGAGTCGAAATATCTGTTCAAATCGTATTGACTTTCGATGGTTGTTTAACTGAAATTAGCCAGTAATGAAGTGTACATATATTATGAATAATAGTTCTGAGTAGAATAAGCTTTACAACCAAGAATAAAATAAAAATTTTATAAATAAATGAACGAGATAGGAAAGAGTTAGGCCCATAATGAATAGATGGATATAACAGTATACTTTTATACACGTAACTATTCTCGTTCCCCGAAGTTTCTATTATGTAATGTAGATTTAGACAAATATTTACTTAAATACTGGTCATTATGTAATTTAAAATGATCCCATGGAAAGTTGGCCAGAAATTCCATTTAAAAAATACGAATTAGTTCAAGAATTTTGTTAATTAAACAGATATTGTATATTCGTATAAACTTAAGAAATACAAAGAATCTGTATACAGAATACATTCTATTTAATTGTTGTAAATTATGATAAGAAAGGGGGTTTGCAGAGATTGTAGTAATTCTAATAGTTCGATTCATCAATCAATCTAAGTTAGAACACCATTGAAAACCTGGAATCACTGGACGGCTGTTTCGTTCTAGTATGGGCTCCTCAGTAGTGCACATCCACAAATTCCGCACCAACAAGACTTGAACCCAGGATCTTTTAGTTTCGTACGTGAACACTGAACCACTAGATCACTGAGCCTCTCAATATTATCATCACCTATAATGTTGAGATTAAGTGAAATTATTTTTATTCTCAGTTTAACTATTCTCTTAATGTTTCTTTGGGATATATCTATTAACTGATATATGCCTATCTACCTCTTAAAATATTTTAAAAAATAATTTCTTTATAAAAAACTGAATAATTTAATATACTCTCTATAAATAATTTGAACATTGAATAATATTGTTTATTTAAAATGGTGGAACTTATCATCCTCATGGTTTTGAATAAGGAAAAAAGAAATGGGAATATTTCTATTCACTTTTAAAATACTCAAGGTTGTTACCCATAGCTGATCTAACAATTTGAATGTAACTAAAAGAGTTCATGTTGTTTTACTGATTAAACAATTGCTGCTTTATCAGAAGGGATTTTGGTGGATAGTATAGTAATTTCAACAGTTGAGATCATGAGTCAATTGAAGCTAGACCTCCATGGAAAACCTGGAAACACTAGACAGTCGTTTTGTCTTATCATGGGAGAGTTCGCATCTACGATCCCTCCACGCGAGATACGAACCCAGAACCTATCGGTCACTTTTTTCATGATCTTTTCAACTTAATCAAAGAAAATGATGTGAAAATCAAATTAATCTATTGCATGATAACCATTGAAATTAGTAGAAAAATGAATGATCTATAGAATTGAATGTGTTTAATAAAATATTTTGTAATCAAATCATTATTTAGTGAATATCAACAATGAGAATCAGAAATAATCAGTTGACGAACTCTAAATGAAACAAAGCTGTTATCATAGGCATTTATTCTTAGCCTGAAATAATAAAGCCCAGTACTCAATACTTATTGTTTGATGTATATATTATGATGGAAGACATTTGTTGGATTCCATTATTGGTCACTATCTAAAAATAATGTCTAATTATATCTAAGCCAATGTATACATATTCAGAGTAGATTTATATTCACTGGAAAAATGTAATTGAAAACATAAAAATCACTCCAAATAGCGTTATTTTAAACTCTTCAATAATATACAATCACAACTGTTCCAACACCACCCTCCCTCCCCCACACGCACATAGATAATTAAAACCGGATTTTCTCAGATTCCCTACTGTTTTAATTAGATTTCTATCAAACTGTTAATATTAGGAGTTTTGGTAATGACTTCAAATTATTAAGCAGTAAAATGAACCGTTTATCATATACTAATGAATAAATTTATAAAATCCAATTTACAAATTGTTATTAATTAAGTTAAATCATGATGAAAGTAGGATACTGTTTCCCCATATTATATCATGAATTGTTTGCATTTGGAAATATTGTGCAAATTGTTTATGACATCATTATTTGAGTGTAACATATTTTTATTCAGAAGGTAGAGACAATCCCAGACATAACTTTGTTACTCAACAGTACAAATAGTAGCGCTTTTTTAGCGAGTTAGTTTTCTACGGGATGTGATCACTAACCCCATTTTCAAC